CAGGACTGGGAGAAGGGGGAAGGAACCCGCAGCCACCCCTCCGGCAACAGAGCCGCGGAGGGATGGAATTAAAAATTAACTGGTGGAGGCAGCAGAGCTGGTCTGCCCTGGGGGGTGGTGAGAATAAATAAATTTAAAAAAAAAAAAAAAGAGCTAAAACTGAAAGAAAAGATAGAATGAGGAATTGAAGGAAAATAGAAGAAAAAAAGAAAAGAAAAATAGAAATAAACATCAAAGAGAATTAAAGTAGAAAAAAAATTTAAAAAGAAAAATAAAAGAAAAAATGAATAAAAATTTTAAAAAATAAGGAAAAATAAAAGAAAAATAAAAGAAAAATTAAAAGAAAAATTAAAAGAAAAATTAAAAGAAAAATTAAAAGAAAAAACAATAAAATAAAAGAATAAAATAAAAGAATAAAATAAAAATAAAATAAAAGAATAAAATAAAAATAAAATAAAAGAATAAAATAAAAGAATAAAATAAAAGAATAAAATAAAATAAAACAAGGAATAGTAACTGAAGAAATTAATAACAAATAAGTGAAAAAAAAGGAAGAAGGGCAAAAATGAAATAAAAAATAATTTTAAAAATAATGAAATAAAAAGTTAAGTGAAAATACTGAAATAAAAATAGAATAGATTGAATAAATTAAAGATTAAAATGTTTGTGTTATTTATTATCCTAACATTAAAATAATCCAATAAAATAAATAAATAATAAAACAGAAATTCAAATAAAAGAAAGTAAATGTCACAATAAAAATTCGATACTAAATAAAGCAAATTTAAAAATGAAAAGCCACTCAAAAAAATCAGGCAGACCCTTTCCCTTGCTTTCCTGGGATAAAGACAGGGGGAAGATTTGGGAGCCTCAGCTGGGGGGAGGCTCCCGTAACTCCCTGAGCCAAATCCTGTGGGATCTGGGGGTTCCCCCCGGGGATTTGGGGGTGCTCCATCACCCCTGGCTGCTGCCAGCAGGCTCTGAGCTGGGGACACCCCGCGGAGGGAACTCCCCGGAGGAAAGCAGCGATCCCAAGAGCGGTGCCAGGGCAGGGAACCGGATCCCCCGGGGCAGCGGGGAGGGGGCCGGGGCAGCCACGGCCAAGGTCGCGCTCGGGTTTCCCTCCCCGCTGTCCCAGCCCAGCGCCACGTCCCAAAGGCACCGGTCCGGAAAGCTCCGCTCCAGGCGCTCCCAAAAGCCAGAACCTCCCAAAACCCAGAGCCCGCCCGTGCTGGGTCAAGCTCCGGCGGGGAGTTGTGCCAAGGGATTTAAAAATCAGGCCCTGACACACGGGATTTAAAAAAAGAAAAAAAAAAAAAAAAAGTCATGTTTCTTTCCTTGTTTATCCTCTTTTTCCATGACGGCTGCAGGGATTTTTGCTGGTTTTCCGGCTGTCGAGCGCTCCTCAGCAGCTTCCCGCTGCCTTGGTGGCGGCTGGGGCCACCCCGGTGCTGTCCCCACATCCCGCCCCATAAGGACCAGAGCGATGAGGAGAGAGAGCACCGGGAATTTCTGGGAGGGAAATCCCGAGCCAAGGGCTGCCCCCGGACCTCAGCCAGGTGCGATGGAGCCGGGGATGGGGACACAGCCCTGGGGCAGCCCCTGCTCCTTTGGGGGACGGATGTAACGGGTCCTGCTGCGCGTCCGGGGGTCCCTGCGAGGGTCCCTCTTGGTGGGGACAGCCCTGCCCCGTGGCACCCCAGGGGGAGCCCCCAAAGTGGGAGCGCTGCTTGGGGTACCCAAAACACGGCTGGGGGCATCCCACAGCACGGGGGGAAACCTCAACCCCATCCCGGGGGGTGTCCCCAAATCACAGCCCTGCTGAGGGAGCCCCCAAAGCGCCAAGAACTGCTGGGGCCACACAAAAATGTCCTGAAGGGAACCCCCAAAGCCGCACTGGGGGAACCCCCAAAGCAAGGAAACAGCAAAGCCATCCTGGAGGAACCTCCAAAGCAAGGGGGATTCCAAAGCCACCCTATGGGGAACCTCCAAAGTAGGTGCACTGCTGGAGGGGTACCCCAAATCCACCCTGAAGGGAACCCCCAAAGTAAACACACTGCTGGGGGGGACCCTAAAGCCACCCTGGGGGGAATCCTCAATGCAGGGCGACTCCAAAGCCACCCCGGAGGGAACACTCCAAGGGGTGACACCCCAAAAGGGGATCCTAAACCCACCTGGGGCTGAGCCCCTAAACCTCATGCATGGCTGGGGGGCCCCCAAACCATTCTGAGCAAGCTCCCGAAGCAGGGAGGAGGCTCCAAGGCCACCCCGAGGGTGGTGTCCCCATCGGGGACCTGTTGGGGGGACACCCCGCTGCCCCCCTGGGAAAGCGGCGAGTCCCTGGGGATGCCCCCGCCCCGAAGCTCTCCCGGCCTCCGCGGGGACACTCACATGTCCTTGGCGGGCAGGTTCCTGCCCTCCACGATGCGGATGGAGAGGGCGCTGCGCCGGGCCATGGCGGGCGGGCAGCGGAGCCGAGCGGAGCCGAGCGGAGCCAAACGGCGCCGAGCGCGGCCTCGAACCCGCGGCCCCGCGCACAGCGCCCATGTGCGGGCCGGCGCCGGCGGCCACCAATCAGCGCGCGGGGGCGGGGAAAGGGGCGTTGCCTGGGGCGCATCCGCCGCGCCCATTGGGTGATGCTATCGGCTGTCGGCCAGGGGGTGTGGCCTGCGCAGGTGGGCGGGGCCGGGCTCCCCGCGCTGCCGGGGTCCCGCGGGGTCCCCCCGGTGTCCCCCCGGTGTGTCCCCGCTGTGTCCCCTCGGTCCCGCTCTGTCCCCGCTGTGTCCCCTCGGCCCCCCCGCTCTGTACCTGCTCTGTGTCCCCGCTGTCCCCGCTGAGTCCCCTCTGTGTCCCCGCTGTCCCCTCGGTCCACCCGCCGAGTCCCCGCTGTGCCCCCGCTCTGTCCCCTCGCTGTGTCCCCGCTGTCCCCTCGGCCCCCTCGGTCCTGTCAGCCCCCGGCACCGCCCGCAGCTCCAGGGCAGTTCAGCCCCAGCCTGCCCAGCCCAGCGCCCGCCTGGATTGGACCAAACCCACACCGGACCCCTCCGTACCCCCGAACTCGGGGGATGCAGCGCTGCTCTGCACCCCAAGCCTCCAGCGTTTTACTGATTTTTAACCAGGTTTTTGTTTGTTTTTAAAGTACTGCAGAGCACCCGAGGACAGGCGGCATTTCTGGGCGCTTGGCGCCCTAAAGAACAGCGGAGGGCCGGGGAACCCCCCCATGGCGAGACCCCCCCGGGCTCGGGGACTCGGCCGGCACCCACAGCTGGGGCTCAGGGCTGTGCCGGCCGAGAGGGTCCTTGGCATTTCCGCCGCGGGGACATTGTGGGGACGCTGCGGGGACACGCTGGGAACACGCTGTGAACACACCGCTCTGTTCCTGCCGCGCTGCCCCTCTGCCTCCCCCGCACAGGGGACAGCAAGGGGACAAGGTGCCGTCCCCGCCACCACCCCACGAGCCTCTCCATGCGCCATCCCCAGCCCCACAGGCGGTGGGGGACGCATGTGCCACCTCCAGAGACACACGGGTGGCAGGTGACACAGGTGACACCCCCCGGAGCCCTTTGCAGGTGAAGCATTGTTTTATTTACGGGGTGTGGGGCGGAGAGGACCCGCGATTGCCGGATGGAACCATCGCTCCGCTGCTCCCACGCTGCTCTCGGCAGGAGTTAATCTCTGGATTTGCTCGATTTCCCTTGGCCGGGCTCCACGGAGGCGGCTCCGGCAGCGGGGGGGGGCAGGTTGCTAACACCCCCCCCGGGCAGCACAAGCACAGCCCCGAAGGGCGCTGTGACCGGCCGGGGGGGTCAGGGTGATGCTGCCCTTGGCGTGGCGCCTGTGGGGAGAAACGGGGCTGGTAATGTTGGTGTGTGATGTGCACAGGTGTATTCACACACACCTGGCCTTGTACATGATGTGTATGATGTATTCACACACACCTGGCCCAGTATATGATGTGTACAGGTGTATTCACACACACACCTGGCCTTGCACATGATGTGTACAGGTGTATTCACACACACCTGCCCCGGCTCCACCCACCACGGGATCATCTCCAGCCCCAGCGGGGTCTCATCCTGCCCGGGCTGCAGGATCAGGGCACCCCCAGCCCTGAGATCAGCACCAGAGACCCAAATCCCGCCGGAATGATGGATCTGGTCCCTTCCAGCCCTGGTACAGGATCAGCCTCCCCTCCCCGCCCCAGCCCGCCCCTAACCAGTGCAGGATCAGCCCCACATCCCCAGATCGGGATTAGGGACATCCCTGGGGTAGGATCAGCCGCACATCCCCCAGATCGGGCTCAAGGACCAATATCCCAGTGCAGGATCAGCCCCACGTCCCCCAGATCGGGATTAGGGACATCCCCGGGGTAGGATCAGCCCCACGTCCCCCAGATCGGGCTCAGAACCACCCCCGGTGCAGGATCAGACACCCCCGGGGTGCCGCTTCCCTTTTGGGCTCTCCTGGCTCCCAGAGGACCCCGAGCTGCACCCGGGCTGGGTTGGGTCGTTTCGGGCTGCGGGAGCCCCTGCTCTGGGCTCGGTCAGGGAGGATCATTGTGGGATTAAAGGGGTTGGAGGAGCACCCCCCACAGCCGCCCCTCCCTCCCGGGGCATTTCCGTGCCCCTCACCCCAGCACCAGGGCTGGGGTCGGGCTCCCCTCGCTGCCCTGCACCCAGGGGAATTTCCCCCATCCCAAGGGGGCACAGGTGGCACGAATGGCCCAGCTGGGTGTGGCAGCGGCTCCACTGTGAGCATCCCCGGCCGCGCCCTGCTCTGCGCAGGAGCTCTGTGAGCGCTGGGGCTCACAGTGGGGCACGGGGGACCCTGGGGCTTTCCGGGGGTCACAAACAGGCGGCATAGCCGGGCACAAAGCACGGGAAAAGCCTTTAATGTCCCGCTGCGGGTGTCCCCAGGGCGGCGGGCCGGTGTCAGCACGGGGAGGGAGCTGCGGGTGACATTTACCCCGCACGGGGACACGCGGGAGGGGCGGCGGGGGCTCAGAGCCGGGCGGCCGGCTGGTCATAGACGTGGTGGGTGTTGTAGCGCCGCACCGTCACCGACTCCGGCTTGCTGAAGGTGCTGCTGCCGCACGAGTCCGAGCTGGGGAGGGAAGGCGGGGTGAGGGGTGAGGGTGGGGACCGAGGGATGGCGGTGTCACCCTCTGACACCCGGTGTCACCCTGCCCAGCGCGCCCAGGGGGTGGCACTCACCCGCAGAAGACGAGCGTGGCCACCAGCGCGGCCAGGAGGATGGCGAGCAGGATGGAGAGGATGGCGGTGATGGCGATCATGCCCGCGCTGTGCCCGCTGCCCGCCGTGGGGATGCTGCTGGGGGATTTGGCTGGGGAGAGAGCAGGAGAGGGAGCAGGATGGCGGGATGGAGGGACACACAGCCCGGAGGGGCTCAGGGGTCTGGCTGGGTGACCGTGTGCTCGTGGGTGTCCACCCCACGTGCCATCACACCGTGCACGGGTGACACCCGCGGCAGAGCCCTGCCTCAGTTTCCCTTCACCCCAAACCACTGCTGCTCAGCATTCAGCCCCCTGGGAGCGCCCCACAGGCCCAGGAGCGCCCCATATCCCCCGTGTGGGGGCAGGACGAGCTCCAGTACCTGTCCTCAGTGTGATTGACTTCGACCAGACTGTCTCGGCCACGGGCACAGAGCCCTCCAGGGCGAGGAACTTCACCCTGAGATGGAAAGGGAGGTTGGCCACGGTGCCGTGGGCCGGGGGCTGCCGGCAGCCCTGGAGGGGGGCAGGTCCCAGGGCAGGCTCACCGGTAGGGCCCGGGGCCGGGCAGGGGCCCATTACACGTGGGTCTCGATGCATCCTTGGCACAGCTGGTCTCGCTGCCCACCCGCAGCACCGTGATGTCCCCGGCGGGTTTGGGGCAGGGGTAGCTGTCCAGGGTGGCGTTGAGGGTCATGTAGGCACTGACGGACCCAGGGAAGCTCTGGAATGCGGTCTCGGGAGTCCCCGGACCCGCGCTGTTGTTGAAGTTGGATATTTCTGCAGGGATGGGGTGGAGATGGGGATGGGGGTGAGGAGGGACTTGGTGGGGGGTACAGGGACCCCCACACGCCCCCTGCCCTGGGCTGCTCCCACCTACCCTTGTCCAGGGCCACCACAAGCCAGATGACGGCATTGCCGTAGTCTTTGAAGGTGCAGCGGGGCTGGTCCAGCACGAAGGTGGAGGCGGTTGTCACCCCCTCCAGCTGCTCCAGGGTCAGGGCTGGCCTGGGCCCCACCTCGTCTGCGGGGGGAAGCCCAGGGGTTGCGGTAGAGGGCGTGGATCCCCCGCTGCAGCCCCGGCACCGAGGCTCTGACCGGCAGCGGCGGTGCCGGGGCTCGGGGTGGGGACAGGAACAGGGGCAGGGGGACAGGGACAGGAGGCAGCTGAGCCCTGGGATCTCGGCAGTGGGGCCCCCCCTCACCTCCCACCCTCAATGTGGGCTCAGACAAGTGTTGCATTAAAAGAGGAAGCAAAACCACTCCGTGCTCCCGGCCGCGGGGGAACACCCGGAGGAGCAGAGTGGGTGACACCAGGGACGCTTGGGATGGCACCCAGAGCGGGGGGGCATCAGCTGCCCTACGCCTCCAGCGTCAGGGGAGCCCTGGTGGCCTCCAGTGGAGCCCACACTGTGCCAGTCAACCAACATCAGCGACACCAGAGACCGGCACCCAGAACAGGACCCAGAAAAGGGGGCACCAGCTGCCCCACACCTCCAGGCTCATCGGGCTCTGGTGCCTGAGCACGGGGGATCCCCGCGGTGCCCAGGGCAGTCCCGAGCCCGTCCCGGTGCTGTTGCCGGACTCACCGATGCCGTGTGCGGCGGGCAGGAGCAGGAGCAGGAGCAGCAGCGGGATCATGGTGCGGGCGCCGCGGTGCCGAGGGCGGGAGTGCGGGAGCTGCTGCGGCTCCGCGTCCCCTGGGAGCCGCCTGTGGTCACCATCCGCCCACATTCCTGCAGCGGCCGCAGCCCCGTGGCAAACAGGTTGGGCTCGTTTCCCCGGCAGCTTTTGTTATGTTTGAGCGCCCGCCGGTGAGGCGTGCTGAGAACCGCTGCGTTTGTGGCATGGGTGGGTGACGGCGTCACCCGGCAGGAGGCGATGTCCCGTGGGGATGCGCCCGTGGCATCCGGGCCCACCCGTGGCAGCAAATGTCACCCAAACTGACGCCAAGTGCCACCAAGCCAGAGCCCCAAGTGGTCTTTGAGGTCCCCCACCTTCACAGTCCCACCCCGCGTGGCCAAAGATCAGGAGGACACAGCTGCAGATGGAAAATCAGATTTTACTTGTCAGGACAGCTCATGTCTAGTGGAAGCTGTCCCCGCCTGTGGCAGGGGGGTTGGAACGAGGTGGTCCCTTCATGGTCCCGTCCAACCCAAACTGTTCCATGGTTCTCTGACACGGAGCCGGGGGTCGGGGGGCAGAGGGGCCCAGCCCCGGGGGGCTGCAGCCGGGGGCCGGGGGCTGGGGCAGGGCCGGGGGGATGTGGTGGGTCCGGTAGGATCTGCGGATGAAGGCACCGCTCCCCAAGCCCCGGTGGCACAGGGAGCCCCACACCTTGGCCCTGCGGGGACACAGAAACAGAGGCATCAACTGGGGTCTGTGGGGCTCTGCACCAGCCACCCCCAAGGAGCCTTTTCTCCTGCAAACTACGGCAAAGCCCCAATTTAGGAATAAAAAGGCTTTTCCAACGTTAAAAAGATCATCATTCCTTTGCTGATGGGGTTGCCGATTTTGGGTGTTCTCCTGAGGCCCCTGCGGACACTCCCACCCCCTGTACCCCCCGTACCCCCCCGTACCCCAGGGCTCCGAGCACGGCGGCGGCCAGCGCGGCCCCCAGGCTGGCCAGGATGGAGGCGATCACCACCAGGGCGCTGCCACGGCGAGCGGGAGCAGCCTCGATGGTGCTCGGGCTGAGGGCTGGGAGGAGGCGGGATGAGGGATGTGGGGTGGATGCGGGCTCGGGGATCGCTTCTCCCCGCAGCTTTTGGGGTGATGGCACAGGGCTGATGCTGGTGCCACCACCCCAGCCAGGGAGGTGCAGGGGACCCGCGGCGCGGGGGTGGCAGCGCCAGCAGTACCTGTGCGCAGGAGGATGGGCTCGGACCAGCGCGTCTCCGCTTTGGGGCCGCGGCAGCCCATCAGCAGGAACTTCACCCTGCCGTGGGGACGGGGCTGATACCGGGGGGGCGAACAATCCCCGGCTCCAGGCGAGTCTCCCCAGCCGGGATTTGGGGCTTCTGGCCTTACCTGTAGGGTCCCGGGGAGGGCAGGGGCCCATTGCAGGGGTCCTGTCTGTGCTGGTCCCTGCACGCCGTGTCACCCCCGACCCGCAGCACGGCCGGGCTCGCTGCCGAGCACGAATACGCGGCCGCCGCCGTCTCCAGGGTCATGTAGGAGCGGGCAGCGAGCAGCTGCTGGTACGGGGGCACCTCAGCCCGGCACTGCGGGTTTCTGAAGGTGGCTGAGGCTGTGTGGCACAGGTGATGGGTGAGCGGCTGCGGGAGGGTCCCCGTGTCCCCTGCCATGGGGGGGACGTGCCGGAGGCCGGAGCAGCGAGTGCTCACCGTTGGCAAAGGCCACCGCCAGCCAAACGGCGTCGGAAGCATCGGCGTGGCCGTCGAAGACGCAGCGGGGCCTCTCCAGCGCGAAGGTGGTGGCGGTGACCTTGCCCAGCAGGGCCAGGGGGGGCACTTGGGGCACGTAGTGCAGCCGGGCTGGGGGAGGGGGCAGTGAGCGAGGGGAACACCCCAAGGGGTGACACCCCAAAAGGGGATCCTAAACCCCCGTTCTGCACTGCTCAAGTGCCCGAGCCCGCATCCACACTGGTGCTGGCGCACAGGAATGTCACAAGGTGCCAGCACTGGTTGGGACCCCCCAGCCATGCCCAGCCCCATAACCCCTCCCTGGCACAAACCCCTCGCAGCCCCCCCAGGTCCCGGTCCCCCTCTGCCCTGTCCCCAGGGAGTCACCCAGGTCCGCGGCTGCCATCCCAGCCAGCACCAGCAGCACCCACGGCAGCTCCATGGCGTCCTCCTGGTGCTGCTGGATGCGCTGTCCCGCTCGGCTCACCTCGTCCCACTGCCGAGGGGACGAGCTGCCCCCAGTGCCCCCGCAGCAGGGACCGCCTGTCCCGGAGCCGGACCCTCCCAGCCCCGCATTCCTGCACCGGCTCTGCCGGCCCGGCCAGAGCCCGCGGGCAGAGGGGACAGCTGAGCACCCCGAGTCACCCGCTGGTCCCAACCCCGCTGGGAACCGTCCTGCGGGACCCCCGAGGCACCTGCTGGGAGTCAGGGCACAGGACAGTCATGTGAAAGGGGAAACTGAGGCAGAGGAGGCACTGGGGCGATGTTCCAGGATGGACTGGCAGGACTCACAGTCTTTGTTGGCGCTATGGGGGCAGCCAGGCCCGGAGTCACCCTGGACCCCCACTCGCCCCACCAACACTCAGCTCCCTGCGCACGCCGTGTGCCCACCAGGGCCCCGGAGCCAGGGGCGAGCCCGTGCCCGACTGGTTCGGGTGCCGCCAGCCCTGCCCCGCGGGCAGGGAAGCGCTGCGGAGCATCACACCCGAACCAACCCGAACGCAGCGTTCAGGTGAACGGTCCCACCCAGCGGCAGGGGCGCGGGAGCCTTTTCAGCTCTGGGCCCACCCCACGCTGACATTTCCTCATCTCTCGTAGCCCTTCCAAGCCCTCGGGATGGGGGCAGGGAGCGGGAGCCCCCCAGCGCCGCTCCCTCTCCCGTGTTTGCCAAGGGGAGCGGCTGCCCGCTCCCTCCTGCGTGGGAGGAGATTCCCCCCCCTTCCCAAGGGGCCGGGACCGCGCCTTCAGATTAAGTGGAAATGGGGCATTCAAAGATTATTACATCGTGCGGCTGCAGAGGGGAAAAACAGGCGCAGCTGCAGCCTCTGTCCCTCCTCCTTCTCATCCTCCCCTTATCCCCCACACCTGTCCAGCAATGCTTGCCCCGGGGACCCCCCCAAGTTCCCCCAGAGCCCTCCCTGGCGCTGCCCGGCCGGCAAGGTGCCAGCAGCAAGGTGAGGGGCAGGGTGGGTGACGCAGGGGACAGTGAGTCACAGTTTCAGCAGCTGCCGGTACCCAGCATAGCTGCGGGGTCACGGCTGGGCTAATAATAACCAGCCTGAGGCAGATGAGCCATCCCTGCAGGGCTGGGACAGACACCCCCCTCTCCTCTCCCTGGGGCTCCAGCTGGGGCTGGGGGACACAAGGCTTTTGGTCAGATGTGCCTGGGAGCATCATAAACATTTATCTGGGGCTCTGTCCCCTCCTGGCTCCGAGAGGAACCGTGGTTATGGTTTCACCCCAGCTTTCAAAGCATCTCCCTGAGCCTCCCACCACGCCTGAGCACCTGGCTCTGCTCCCTTCCACCCCTTGGATCCCCCTGCCACAGGGGCAAAGCCACTTTGGGCCCAGCACAGAGAGAACAAGGATTTTAGGAGATGTGTCCAAATCCAGGGCAGTCAGGGATGAGCTGCTGAGCTTGGCTGGCTCAGCACAGCCCAGTGCCCCTGCCCTGGACCAGCCCAGATGCAGGGAGGCTCCAGCTGATTCACAGCCAGCAGCAGCTGCTGGCGATGCCTTAGGCCAGGCTCAGCAGGAAATTCTTGCTTTGTACAGGGCTGAATGAACCCTGCTTCAATTTTTGCTTCAATTCACTGCTTTGATTGCTGGGTTAAGATGATCCAGGGGTACAAAGCTGAGGTTTGAACTCAAGACCTCTCCCTTTTGCAACCAGGGTGGGAGAGGAGCAGACAGAGCCCATTTGTGTAGAGCTTAGCAACACAGACACCTCACTGCAGCTCCCCAGGAGCTGCCATGCCTGCAGCATGCCCAGATTTCCCTGGATGTTTGAGGGGATGTGGGTGAGTACAATGTTTCTCCTTAGAGCTGCAGGCACAAGATAGACACTGGGGAAAGCTCCACCCCTCAATGGCTGAGAAAAACCTTTAATCTTGATATTGGCATGACAGGAAACAAAGTGTTCCTCATCTGGAGGAGGCCAAGGTAGAGCTGCCACAAAGCCCAGCCCCATCCCAGATTTCCCAGGAAGGAGGTGAAGTGGCAGATGGCACCAGTGCCAAGGGGATGGATTGGATGGATTTAATGTGCAGCTGGATATGGTGGCTACAGGGAGGGGGAGAGCCAGAAACAGCTTTTCAAAAGCTATCAGTCCCCAGGTGACAAGAAACAGCTCTTCAAAAGACATCACCTCCCGTGTGACACAGCCTGGGGACAATGCACAGCCAGGTCACTGGGGCAATGTCCCATTTGCAAGGTGCCAGCAGCCAGAGCAGGGACAGGCTCTGAGCCAGAGCATCGCTGCTGGCACCTAGGCTGGCCACCTCTGCTGTGGGAGCAAGGTGACTGTCACCAGCTGGTGGCACCAGCATCCCTGCAGCAGCAGCACAAAGCACAGCAGCTCCTCCCTGCACAGGCAGCACTGAATTGCTGCCATTTCACCTGAGAAGGGGAGAGAGGGACAGGTTCTGCCTCTCATCGTTGGGATGGGAGGAGGGGGAACTGGCAGCTCACAGCCAAGAGCAGGGGGCTGCAACTTCCCACAGGGTGGACACTGATAAATCACCTCTGCTGGCACCACCAAACTCCAGAGGCCAAAGCACTGACAGGCAGGAACCACAGCCCCTGGGAGCAGTGTCCTGGTGTGTCCCCCCAGCAGAGCTGGGCTTTCCCTCTCCTGGCTGCATTAATGTCCATGGCTCCATGGAGCAGGCTGGGTCCCCAGACAGCCACCCCAAACCCCGAGGCAGCAGGAAGGCAGAGCAGGGTCTTGCTGTGAGAATGAAGAGTTTATTGGGACTGAGCAGAGATACACAGCAG